TGACAGCAGGCTGCCACTGCTGGCTGGGGCCTGCAGCAGCAGCAGTCTTCCCAGCACTGGGCATGGGTTGCACCCAATGCCAGTCCTAGGCATCACCAGGAGCCTCATGTGATCCCATGCACAGATCTGGGGGCCCGCACCCTCCAGAGGAGTTCAGCACAGACCCGCAACCCTCCCAGGGGTGCACGCCCCCAGGTCTGTGCATGGGATGACAGGAGTCTGCCACTGCCAACAAGTGATATGAGTTTTCCTTTCAACTGTTTGAAGTACAGTTTCCCAGAAACCTCTGCACCTATCTCCTTGAAACTTGGCAGGCTTCATGCCCTCAGAAGGGGCTACTCTCCCTGCAATTTTATATCTGAATCAGGCAAGAAATGACAAAGTTTTTAGGCATTTTCATGATTCCCCATTATAGCATATGGGCAAAACGGCGCAAGAGTTTTGACACAACGAAATGGAACAGTGCTTCAAAACAAAACAAGAAAACGAAAAACAGTCCCTTCAAAATGGCGAAATGGAACTCGAAATAAAACGATGCTGTTTCGTTCAGGCCTAATATCCATGCCCCTTAAATCTCTTCCTGTTAGGGTGCTATGATTGTAGTGCTTATGGTAGGCAGGTAGAGTTGTTAGTCATCTTCAAGGTAGACGTCTTCCTTTGTGGCTCTCAGTGAATGCCTATGATACTGTTTTATTCAGGTGTGTTGCTTCTGTGATTGCCTGAACTCTAACATGAGAGAGTGTTCAAAGATTACTACTTCTCTTTAAAATATGTGCCTTTGTTTTTATAAATGAATGTTGCAATACCCAAGGAAGCAATGTAGTGGGAAGAGATAATAGAACAATGTTTTTTCAAATCACACTAAATGTGTGTTGGCTCCAACTTGTACTATTATACTCTTGTTTTTGTGACCAGTGCATTGTACAGACTGATTGCTGTATCAGTTTCATACCAGATGCTTTCAATAACTATAAACTGTTTTAAAAAATTCTGATTCCCTTCTGAGTTTGTGAAGTGTATGTGTAAGCCGGATATAGAGATATATACAAAATCCAGTTACAGTTTCTTCTCTGTGCTCTGTACTGTAGAGCAGTGTGATATGTTTATAATCCTGGAAGATCACAGCAGGCTACCAAACTGTCAGATAAATGGACATACTCTACAAATGTGACTTGCATTATAGCTGTATTTCCTTTTGATTAAAGGAAGACTTTGCCAGATACTGTACTGTGCTTTCAGTAATGCTTAAGTTTTGGCATTAAATGCACTCTGGAGAGTTCTGCAAGGTGGAATGGGTAGTAACCATTAGGAAAATCTGACTGCTGCAAGTCAAAACTTAAGTGCATAGAATCATAATAAGGGTCCAGTCCTATGAAGTACTGACTATGTCTTGACCAATGGTGACTGCTGCACTTCCATAGAAGTTTAGGACAGAGTTGAGCATGTACCTCTGTGGAGGTGCTCAGCATGATACAGGAAGAGACCCATGATTACCCCACTTCTTGCTGTGCCCCAGGTGCTCCCAATAACTATTCCATTTTGGCCACTGTGTGATGAAGTGGGTTTTTGTGTCAAAGAAACAAATAGTACTCCTGACTCAGTGAGACACAGCTCAGTGAATTCCCTCTGAGCAGCTGCTGAGTGTCAGTCAGGTGTCACACCATGATGCCCATCGTTACCTAAATCTCTCTGTAGGCTATTCAGGAGCCCTACCAGAATGAAACAATGAAGTGTCACTCTCTCCTAAACTTCTGGTTTTAATTTGGAGTTGATCATGTAATTCAAACTGACTATCTTTCCTTGCAGTTCCACAATGCTAATCAGCTGGCTGCGTGGTGTTTATACTACATCTGCACCAATTACAACAGTGTTTGCTCCAAATTCCGTAAGGAAATAAAAGCTAAATCCGCAGGTAAGATCATCCATAACTTCCCCTATATTTTTGAGACCCATCTTTTTCTTTCTATCCTTTAAAAATAAAAAGATGAATTAGTTCATCTGCCTATGAAGCTGAGCCAGTACTCTCTCTCTCCCTAGCAGAGTTAATACACTCTCTTAAACAGGTGACCAGAGTCTGAGTCCACCTCATGGGCCAAGAGTTATGCTTAGAATTCCTGTCATCTGCAGTTAAAAATGATGTGATTGTCTCTCCAGAACTCACACTGAAAATGCTGCCCATGTTTAGCTTTATTTTACATCATAGAACAGTATAGTTTTCTAAGTAAGTCTCTTCCAGCTATGCTCTCCCTTCACTTTATAGACATTTAATTAAACCATAGCAGCACTGCAGGTAAGTGTCAGTAAGCTCTTTTTAAACAATGGTTAAGCTGAGCCACGGAATGGAAAAAGTAGTTCAAGGTAGATAAAAGCCTTACATACTCAAATCTTGACTCTGTCTACAGCTATGTCCTCATTTTAGAACCTAAGTTATCTTAACACTTTTTTTTTAAATCAGATAATCAGGAATATTTTGAAAGACACCGCTGGCCACCTGTGTGGTACCTAAAAGAAGAAGATCACTACCAGCGAGTTAAAAAGGAAAGAGAAAAGGAAGATACTGCACAGAATAAACATCATTCAAAACGGAAGTGGTGCTTCTGGAATTCCTCTGCTGTAGTTGCCTGAACAAAGAAAATACGTGGAAACACTTAAAGTGTAATTATAACACTACTCTAATATTAGTCTTATTGTTAGAAATAAGATATAGTTCAGGTTTCAGGCACTGACTTCATTCCACGTGTGTGCATTTATTATTGTTAGGATCAAAAGCACAAGCTTACCTAAAGTGAGCCTGGAACAGCTCCTTAAAGGCATATGCATATTTTTGGTTAATAAGCAAAATAAGCATCTACCATTATTTCGTTTCTTTTTATACAAAAGCAAATCCAGCATTCATGTTTCAAATTCCAAATTGGGAAATATTTTTATACTGTCTTGTGTATTTTGTTTAAATAAAAATTCTGGGTATTGCTTTATTTTACAGACCACAAAATAACCATATAGTGCTTTATACTTAGATTTTAACTATTTTTCCTATTTGATTAGATAGAATCCAAATAGACAATCCTCAGTCTTTAGTGACTGTTTTTAAAGTATCCAGTAAAAATGTTCACCTTCATTTGAAAACCAGATTTTACTACGCAACTAGTTTTTGTTCCTTAAGTACCATACACTCATAATACAATTAGATGGTTATTTCTTCTTTCTAAAGTAAAGGAGTGTTTAATCTTTTTTTCAGCTGAATAATAGACAGTATAATTACCTGTTCAGCTGCAAGAACATGTATTTCTAATATATGCCATGTAAGTGCAAATAATTATGGTTGCATGGACCATGTGAAATCTAGTGATTCTAAGTATTCAGAGATTTAAAATGTCTAGATTCAAGAGGATCATTTAAAAATAATTAGAAGGGCTTATTATTTTATATCTTTATCCAGGGTAAACTCAGTACAGACACAAATACAAGGAGAAATTCTATATAGTATTTGCATTACTGCAGTACAGTTGACTTTTGGGAGGTTTTTTCTTTCTCCTTTTGAGAGCCTGGGTCTGCAGTCATTCCTCATGCAGAATTCCTTTTGGCTTCTTGGAGAGTTATATTAATGAAAAGGCAGCAAAACCAGGGAGGTACTTTCTTCTGTTGTAGTATCAGTATATTGTAAATGAAGAATGATCTTTCCCATACAAGTTAGTTTAGATTTGGTTATAATTATTTTGCAGCTCTTTCCAAGTGGAACTCCAAAATTAGATTCTGTATTTTAAAGTAGATTATGCATTCCTGTTGCAGTAGATATTCCAGGAAAACACAAAGCTGAAGGTACAGTGAATAAAAAACCCCCCAAAAATCCTGCATTCATTGGAGGAAAAAAAAGCCTTCAGCATGTTCAAATATCCTTTTCATTTATGATTGTCTAAAGACCAACTGTTGCTTTGTACTTGCAGTGTTACACTAGAAAATACAAGTATGTGAGAGCTTTTCATAGTTTCATAGTTTCTAGGGTTGGAAGGGACCTGAGCAGATCATCTAGTCTGACCCCCTGCCATGGCAGGAAGAGCACTGGGGTCAAATGACCCCAGTAAGGTGGTCATCCAACCTCCTCTTAAAAACCCCCAGGGTGGGAGCCTGCACCACCTCACATGGAAGCTGGTTCCAGACCCTAGCCGCCCTGACCGTGAAGTAGCGCCTCCTGATGTCCAACTTAAACCTTCCCTCCGCCAGCTTGTGACCATTGTTCCTGGTCACTCCTTGCGGCGCTCGGGGGAACAGGGACTCCCCCAGCGCCTGCTGATCCCCCCTAACCAGTTTATAACAGGCCACAAGATCCCCCCTCAGCCTTCTCTTTTGAAGGCTGAACAGGTTCAGGTCCCGCAACCTTTCCTCATAGGACCTACCCTGCTGTCCCTTGATCATACGAGTGGCCCTCCTCTGGACCCTCTCGATGCTGTCCACATCCCTCTTAAAGTGCGGCACCCAGAACTGGACGCAGTACTCCAGCTGCGGCCTGACCAGTGCCGCATAGAGGGGGAGGATCACCTCCTTGGACCTGCTCGAGATGCATCTGTGGATGCACGACAAGGTGCAGTTGGCCTTCCTAGCCGCCTCCCCACATTGCCGACTCATGTTCATGTTGGAGTCAATAATGACTCCCAGATCCTTTTCCACCTCCGTGCTGACAAGAGGGGAGTTCCCCAGCCTGTATGTATGGTGCCGATTGTTCCTCCCCAGGTGCATCACCTTACACTTGTCTGTGTTAAAATGACCAAACTGAAATTCTTATAAATTAAAGTATAGAACATACATTCCCAGTCCTATATAGTGTCTCAGGCATAGTTCTGTAAACATGGTAGTATTGCGTATTGGATTTGTTAGTGTTGTTTCCAGCAGGCAGCTCAGCATACTGATGTGAAAAGCTGGGGGTGGGGTTTCTTGTACTCAAAGGCAAAGCAGTAAGTTCAAAACCCAGTACCATGAGTTAGGAAAGGCTTCGGACTGAAAGCCATACACGCCTCTAAATATTCAGGTTCTAGACAGAGCTCATTCCTGACAGTTGCTATCCTAGAGTGCTAGAAGTTGCTTAGCATTGGTAGAGAGAGATGCTGCTGCAGAGACTATTGTAAAGAAAACAAGTGACAGACTCCATTGCCTATAAGATTTACCACTGTACAGTGATAAAGAAGGGCTATGAAGGAAGGTTGGAAGTCTGCCCACATCAATTCTTGTGCAGTGGTTTAGTAAATTGTTAGGGAAAGAATGAATGAGAGAATAAATATCAAAACTATGATAGAATTAATATCTGTTCAGACATAAAAAGTTAACATCGTCATTTAAATAAGTACTGCTACTAGGTTTTACACAACCAAAGTTACTTTATGATTGTAATCTTGCCAAACTATAATGGATATATAAATGAACCTAGGGTATATGCAATAATATCCACTTGTACTAGTTATCAGCTACTATAACCAAGTGGCTGGCTCATTTGGTTAATGCTGTCTATGGCCTTTACTCTTGGTGGTTATTTTGTGTTTTTTTTATTTTGCAAAAAAGTCAATAAAATTGTTTAGCTATAAAATGTCTCCTAATTCTTTGAAACTGCTTTAAATCCTGTGTAAAGCACCTAGGTTTTAGTCTATTTATTAAAAGTAATAATGAAATATATTTAACAAAATTGTGTACTAAATCCATGATTATATGGGGTAAGAAAACATAAGTTTAAAACGTTGCAAGGAGAGCCTATAGCATTTGTACACATGAGGTGGGAAGGGAACTGGATGTTTGTCACAAGTATATAACAATGTTTTCCTGGCACTTTTTCATGCTGCTTCTAATATTTTAATCACCAGGCCAACACCCCTGGGATATAAAATTAATTAGGTGTGACCAAAAATGGGGGGGGAGGGTAAAACAGGTAGGCTTTGGGAGGTTTTTTTGTTGTTGTTGATGTTTTTAAGTATACAATAGGCTTGCTAAATAGACTGCTTGCTTTATTGGCTTCCCGTGGCATTGGTCTTCAACAGCCAAGCAGAAACTCCAATTATAAGTTAAAGTACATGCAGCAACAGTTTCTTTTTTTGTATCTGTGCTGCTAAATTGACAAAGATAGGGAGTTACAGTTTTAGAGAACTTGCAAGATGATGTGTGAAAAATGCGTTGTTTATACTTTTTTTAAGCTATTCGCCAATGCCAAGGACACTGAAAATAAGCACTTTCAGTACTCAATGTACTTTCCTCTTCTAAAGTGTTAATTTATGAGAAGGCTACATAATTCAATGATTTGATTTATTTTAGGAAGCAAGACTTTCTTCCCATGAATTTGCAATTAGAATTCAGGTAATGTATTCAGTAAAAGAAGAATAATGTAGCAACAGAAAGAATGCTACTCATTTGATTATGTTAAAAACAGCAATGTATTAAAAAACCACTAAAGTATATTCCTTTATGTGTGTATGCTTAACTTACTGGTCATTTAGACTCCAGTTTGATAGGAAGTCACAGCGAGGACGTTTATCAGGTGAAAGTTGCCTCTTGGTATTGTAGAACTAATTTTGATTGCAGATTGAGCATGGTTCATAAATCAGCCCATATTGTAGGCTCCCCGTTCATAAGTATAAGAGTGGGCTTTGGGGCTGGGGCTGTCGTCATTGACTTGAGCAGAAGAAGGCATTCTGTAAGCAAGGCATTGGCAATGCATAGGGGATGCACAAGGTACAGTGCAAAGGTGTTGGATAAATGTGGCTACTGTGCAATAACTTCAACTCATCTTTATTTCCTCTGTATCGTGAGACTACTCACCAATCTATATTAATTAAGTTAGAATCCCACGATTTTACTGGACTTCTTTAGGCTCCATGTTCATAAAGGTGGGGTGGAGCCGTATTAAATATGTAGATATACTAATGGGTATATTAGAAAAGAAAGCAATCTAAACCTAAGGTGTGTGTATGGGAGGAGGGGTAGAGTTAAGTATGGACTGATCCTTACAAGAAAAAAGGTATAAAAATAGAGGAAAAAAGCCAGAATTTTGCTTATCAAAGTGTTCAAGCATGTTTCCAAAGTGTTAACGTTAGTGATTCTGTCTGGATAAGAAATTACTATTGTTAGGGAATGTCCTGGTTTTAAAACAAGCATTTTCCAGACTCAAACTGAGCATTCTCAGATAGAATGAGAAACTTGAAAAACCCTGTACTATAAACTAACCTTTCCCCATTTCACTTACAGCATTAGGTAAAGGTCACCTGTAATGGATTATGTCCATATTAATATCCAAACTTTTTATAGGAAATACTTGAGATCCTTTCTAGGCTGCCTACAAACCATTGGCTATGAGGGGAACTTGCAGCTTTGCTGTCAGGCAAAAATTGGGCTTTTGTCCATGTGTGCGTGCGTGCGTGCGTGCGTGCGTGTGTGTGTGTGTGTGTGTGTGTGTGTGTGTGTGTGAAGCTTCATATTTGAATGTCCAGTATTTATCTCTTGTCAGTTATATCAAGATAGGTGCTATGTTGTCAGATGCCTTTTAACTGTGGTTGCTGGATTTCTTTCATTTACTTAAAATAATTCAGCAATTTTCATTATTTTAATGAGTCCAGTCCTCCTGAGGCAAAATCCCCCAATGAAATTGTTTGTGTCCATCATTTTGAGTTTAAGGTACCAGAGAGAGCATTTATACATTGCAGCTTGTCTACAGTGACACAGAACTGTCAACAGAAATTTGGTTTGTAATCCTCATCCTGCAGGCTGTACAATACAATAATTCATTATCATTTTATATGCACCTTTGCCTTCAGCAAAAAGCATATCACAGATCACTTGGAACTGAAAATCACAATGGTGAGACTACTGCATATTAATCCATGCAAGTCAGGTCACTCACTACCACTCTTTCAATAATATTTAACACTCTGGTAGAAATCTGCAAAACTCTTGGAACAAGACTGCAGAGAATTAACAAGAACATATGAAAAACAGGTGAGGCAAAGTGATTATACTAATAAACCCAAGGATTATATAAAACTGGAGAAAGACAAATTGAAAAAGAGTAAGATATGATTCAGGTAAAGAGACTAGTAAGGGTTCATAGAAATTTGCTATTTCCTTTCAAGTGTGGCATTCCTATTGCATGTATAAAAAGGGATGTATCTATCTACACATGCAAGCACGTGCGCTTGCAGCAGCTCAAATAGAAACGCTGCAAATTTGAGCCAGGGCTTTTTATAAAAAGCCACCCTGGCAAGTAGCTTAGGGCTACTAGCTCTCAGGAGCTTCTGCGGCCCTGCTAATTGGTACCTAGGGAAACTACCCTTGTGCCAGCTGGACTGCTGAAGCAGCCCTGAGAGCTCCCTCCTGCACCCTTTACCCACTGCAGCAGTCTGGCAGTGGGGGCTGCTGTCTGGCTGTGACCTGCTGCACACCTGCCAGACCCAGATGGGGACCGCACAGCCAGTAGAGGCATCTCCCCTCTGGGCCAGCTGCCAGTGGACTGTGGTTGCAGGGTTGGCCTCTGTATGGCACTACTGCCACGTGTGCCCCCTACCCAGCCATCTGGGCAGCTACTGCCCAAAAGATGTTTTTAGTGTGGTGGCCTGCTCTGAACTGTCAAACTATGTCCTCCTGGCCCCATTTGGCCAGGAGGTCAGCCACAGCCAGCTAGGTCCAAGGTGCCAGCTCTGAGCAGGCAGGGTCCTGCCACTTGCCTTCCTAGCAGGAATTCTGGTGTTCTGTATTGGAAAACTGAAATATGCCTGATTTAAAAAAAAAAAAAAAAAAATCCCAAAATCACTCTGTAAAATATCCCCAAATCCATGTTCCTCCA